TTGCCACACCAAATAGATATTCCAGTAACATTTTGACTCTGTTCCATAGGCCTCCATGAAGTCCCTTGATTCGGGAGGAAGAAAAAAGGAAAGAGAACGCTCTTTTGAACCGCATTCCAAGTATGATATACTACAACTGTGTGATTCATTGAGCGGCCCACCAGTGACAGTTGCAATGGATTCGCAAAAGCCGAGTCCTACCTAGAGAATTACACGTACGCTAGAGGAAGAAGATTTCTCATCCACATCATCTTACAACTTATTCCAACTTATCTATTCTGAAAAACTCAGAGGGTGAAAAAATCTCATGAACACACCTTGGGACAAAGCATGTTTATGTTGAGCTTCAGTGTGGACAACAGATTCACAGCATGCTGTTCCATGGCCGGAGAAGAGTGCTTGCCTTTCACTAGCTTGCACACAATTTCAGTGATTTCATTGGTGAATTGCTGAAACACTTGAAGCTCACGAGAAATGTCATTGAAACTATAACCAATGCCATATCAACAAACCTCATCGAGCTGATCGGGCCTTTTGTATGTGATATTGAAAAGGACTTTAGCGGCTTCCCCAGCACGTTCAGATAATACCCTAAGCGACTCGTAGCTTTTTCTGGCTCGATTTCTTCAAGGTCATCAGCAGCAGTGATGTATTGACGATTAGCAAAAGGGGAATTGCCCAGTTCGAACTAAAGAATAAAAGTTGCAAACCATTTAGTGATAAGTGAAGAAACCCTACCCACTTTCTTACTAAATGATGAGCAGAACTTACCTGTATCGATGGCGAATGTGCAGATGTCAAGAAAGCAATACGTAAATCAAACAGCCAAAGCGAATTTCGTGAATCTTCAGGCACTTCATTGATCCATTCATATCGACCAGAATAATTTGCATTAGTGAAAGCCGAAATACGCTCGAGTAGAAATGGAATCGCTTCTGCCCTAAAGCTCGAAAACGAGAGATTCACAGCATGTTGATATTGAGAATGCTGATATTTCAGCTTCAATTATTCGACATCAAGGAACGAATTCTCAGGAAAGGGTAAGGACGTAGCAAAGATGGCGAGATTTTATTAATCAAAGATATATAAAACCTGACTTCGAACAAAGATAGGAAGAACCTGAGAACATGAACTTACTCGAAGGTATGTCGCATAACACTGGAATTGAATAGTGTATTCACCAAACACTTGTCTGCTTCAATGACATCTAAAAATGAGCTGTTATAAAAGAGACTGACAAATTGACTTGGCCCGCGAAACATGCAGCTTTCTCTACCTATTCACTGAAACCAATATTAAAATCCCTCAACTTGAAAATATACACATTTTCGTCTACTTCATTTTAACCACCTTTCTATTACCAGACACTTCGACTAGGCCTTCATAACCTTGTGTATGAACGCGGTCTAGGGGTCAGCAAGCTCCTGCCAAGCAAAGGGCGAGAGTGTAGATGGAAAAGCATACGCTTCGCGTGGTCCTGAGACTAGGCCTTCTAAAGAGATTTAGAAAGCAAAGATGCTGTAATAGTAAGCATGCGTGGGAGCTTCCATTCAATACTGAGTTGTCTAGCCTCACTCTTATAGAAATCTTGGAACCGGCCTAGTATTTGCACTAACCATAAAGATAAGGTAGCTATAGCAGGCTGTCACTCCCAAAGCGATTTAAATTAACATCCTTTGTTGAGAATAGCGAATTTTTCGAAATAAACATGTCGGCAGAGAAACTTTCTATTTGGAGTGAACAACTAACCTTGGAGAACCTCTGAGTTCGTATCCGAGTGCCCACTTGCACGTATTATGAAGCTACGTACTGCTTCTGTAAGCAACACGTCCAACTGTCTTTTATCGCGAGCTGAACAAAATGACATAGGAAACATCATGAAGGACTCAGGTAACTATGACACACTAACCAAGTATCCTGATCAACTCCAGCAATGGTGCACGTAAAGAAGGCTTGTCGCTCGAGCTCTCGATCATCTTTGCGATGTCCTTAATATTTACATTAGAATCGCCTGTGAGATAGGATGGGCCCACAAGTTCTCAAGTGCAGTGAAGAACAGTGGTACAACAAGGTCGAAGTCCACAGCAGAGGGATGACTGGGCATGGAAAAGTATTCACAAAAGGACTGCAATGGAAGTCCTGATAAAACTTCATTACAAGCCATAACACCAAATCTGACATCAAGAACCGTTGGAATTTAACTACACATAAGGAGAAAAATGGCTGGGGTATCATAAGAAGCAAAGAGCCTCATCAAAAGTCATGTAAGTATTCGAAAGCCGGTCCCACTCTTATATCGGAGAAAACTGACAAAAGGGAGGTACTTGATTGGTCTCTACTCCCATACAATGGATTTTGTTAGTATTGAAATCAAAACTGCTTCACAAGTCACCTAGCCGTGTTCTGAATATTCAGCCAAAATGAGTTAACATGAGAGGTGTCGAAAGAGGGGCCTCTGTTCATATAACTTACATGAGATTAATGTCAAATGTGGGACAGTGGCAAGTGAGGCATGGCACGCAGGACTGAACGAATCCGAGCTAAAACCCAGTCGAATAAAACATTTTAGTTTCACGGATTCATAGCTGGGTAACAGACTGGTCAGAAAGGATAAAAATACGATTTTCACATAAGCCAGCCCCCGACCACGCCTCCTTCACCAATGGCCGATGTCAGACTTGCGATTGGAGCGATTTTGCACCAATTGCAGGAGCGACGGGAGATTTACACCGCCGATCACCGATAATTCGGCGCCATCAGCTCGTAAATCGCCCGTCGCTCGCAGCTCCCTGCCACAACGGCCAAGGAGGCACATCACGGCCCGAGCGATGGATCGCTTGAGCGATCCGTCGCTCCAAAGTGCGAGCGACGGGAGATTTACCCGACCGAGGCGGCGCCGTGTGTCGGCTCCTGCTAATTGTGCAAATCGCTCCAAATCGCAAGTCTGACATCGGCACTGTATACCAACCTCACTAATTCGTGTACCATGTGAAGGGAATGCGCCCTCTCCAAATCAGGAAATGATCAGTCCAGAGTGCGAGTGATCCGACAGAATCAAAAGGGTTTCACTCGCCATGGACATTCAGCTGCAGAGAGAAGGGACCGGTGTGTTAAGTAAGCAGTATGGCCAAAGATCTGGCTTGTGGGTCAAGATAGTCACGCAGCCGCTGTTTGGCTTAGAAGACGTCAGGGGGGGAGCTACCAACTGACGGCGGTTCAGGACAGGTTCGAGAAGCTCGTTAGGGCTTTAAATATACTCTAATTGCGGTCACATACTCATCCTGAGTCGACCGTTTAGGGCAATCTCAACGAAGAAAGTGTTCTACTTGAACACTAAAGTTTGTTCACGATAAGATTAGGAAACCTAACCTACTTATTTTTGTAACAACTTCAGGAATATTCAGTTTGGTGACATTTCATTAGAGCAGAAGAAAAGGCAAGGAAGGTGAGCAGCTCAAAGAATAGGAAAATTTCCAAATTCAAAGTTGATTATTACAAGAAGAAACAAAATTTCATCACGATTCGCAGAACGGAGTACTTTGGACGCCTCAGAACATTGGGTATTCCACACAGGAGGAAAAAAAAAATCACCTGCCGCATGGCTGGATCAACGAACTGGAATTCGGTCTGAGCACCAAGACTTGCATTCAGAGACTGAAGTTGCCGAGAAGCCTCTTCTTCAGAAAGCGTCAACAGAGAACGGAGTTGTTGCACTATGGCAGAATTCATCTGAAGAACGAGAGCAATTTTGACCGCCAATTTTGTACAGGCTTATTTTTTCAAGCATAGTCATTACGTAACTGGAATGCAATGATTCCATACTTGAACAAAATAATGAAGATATTTTGATGGAAACATCATGGCTGTAAGGACAAACAGAGATACTGTAAGCTATTTATCGCTATTTATAAGCAAAATCTAGAAATGTTCGGCTTTTCTACTGAGTCTTCACTTTCGGCATGACATCTGGCCTTTTGTTGGACGGCTGTTGGAGACGGTGTTTCGCCAATGTCATCTGAAGACAGAAATATGTCAGGTAATAATCAGGTAATTGGAAAGTTTTTAGTGGTCACTAAAGCATATTTCAGCTCAGAAAGAACAGGCCACAAAATTCCATTAACTTACAACGTCACAAAATGAATAACAATTATAAACAAAATGAATAACAATAACAAGATACCTCGGACTCATAAAAGGTATACTTGCTCATGTTCAGGTATTCAGACACTTTGTACAAACTCCTATCAGGCTTCTTCCCTGAAATAACGCTCACTTCAAGTATAAGCACTTAGCAAAAGACCTTAATCAATTTAGAGCCCCACCTCCAATTTTAGCCAGGGCTTCTGCGTGTTCTATTCCTGTACTCGTTCTAGGAGCAGCTGAAACGAAACCACGAGAAACACATTTAATGACGCTGAGTCGGTTCATACCTGAAAAGACGATAATTTTGTATGGTGATTAATTGGAGACACTTGTAACGGCGCTCATGTCATTAGGGGGAGCATTCAGAACATGGCCGACAATATAGTGACAGGTGGCACTAGGACTAAGCCAGGAGAGGAGAAAAGAAAGAAAGCTGCTCACATCCTCCCCAGTAACCTTTTCTCTCCCTAAGGCTTACCCCTGGGCACTGCAAGTGGCTAACTCACTTAAAAGTCCCTCCTAACAACATGAACGCTGTTGTTAGTTACTTCCTCACCAGGGTCAACCCTACGTTGTTACGAGTAACAACGGGGGTCGTACCTGGTTGAGTTTGTAGGAGGGGGGGTCGTACCCACTTTAGTCGCTCGAAATCACGTGTGGGATTGAGGTGAAACTAAGATTTCGTGGGTAGTAGGCTGGGCGAGTGAGGGCGCGCAGGATAAAAATTTGGTATAAAGGTGAAATGGTGGAAAACAGAAGGACCCGTTTTCGAGATATTTTACCGTCTCAAAGAGTGTTACCCGCCCCGCTCGACGGCATTTTCTTGGGAGAAAATGGGCGCGTTTTGATGCGAGATGAGATGGGCGAAGGAGATGGTTCGTATGCAAAATCCACGTTGGAGGAAGGGTCGTAAAAATTTCGAAAAGTCTAAACCTTAGACAACACCTGTTGCACACGAACCAAGCGTATTACTACGATAGGAGAGAGCATTACGACCAAACACAAAAGGATACCACACAAAAAAGACGAAACGCGAATCAGCAATCATATTTGATCGCAAATATGAATGCTAGTAATGAATCCCAAGCGAACCGCCATGGAAACAAGGCGGCAGATGATTGGTGCGCCTGCAATTACACTGCACACATTCGAATTCACGCAATTTTCCACTACGAGCGTTTGAACATACTACGATGTGAAAATATAGTCGACATACTTATGTAGATCAAATCATATATGATGTCGCGGTTCGCCATTTGTAAAAGAAGGGGATCTGGTCTTAATGAAGCGCTAATGCACTTCACACTTCCCTACACTACAGTAAAGAAGGGACCGGTGCTGTGCCACTCCCACACAGCTGTTACAAAGCCATATTACTTTATCTATGTCGTCCTTAAGTTTTGCAGACCAGTGTGGTACGCGTTTCTTGGCTAAAGCATGATGACAACTACTGAAATATGCGAATTGATTCGTAGTGAGCTTGTCCAAATCCGTCGCTGTTGCTGATGACTGCTAAATTTAATTATTTATTTATTTTTAAGGTGCACTCGTAGGTGCACTACAATGATTCGTCAGAAACCAAATCATAAATCAGAAATGTTGATTTAAAAATAAGATCAAATCAAGCACTGTTTTACCCACAAGCGGGCACCAATTATTCGAAATCGTTGGTACCAGTAAGGCAAGTAAATCAATGCTCTTTAATTTAATTCATCTTATTTTTAATTAGGGTCTCATCCAGTAAGGGGGGCATGTGGTGTGACAGTTCTTGCCGGCTACAGAAATTCCAATTTTTGCAAGGGGAGGGAATCCCCGGGGTGCGTGAACCATTTCGCTTGAACTTTTACACCCACCCCGGAGCTTCCCTCCCCTGAAAAAAAGGATTACTTCATGCAATATGAACTGTCGCGGCACATGCCCCCCTTACTGGATGAGACCTTTTAATTAATTGTTTAATTTAATCTTTAGTGCATGTGTCTTCTCATGGATTGCTGTCTCAATACTTGTCTGTACCATTCTAGTTTTTTTTTCACCAATCCAAAGTCGAACTTTCAGAGCTCATGGGCAGTGTACGCAAATAGTATAATATTCAATTGGGAAAGGCATCAACGTCCACGGCGCGGTATTCAAAATCCGTTCAGACTACAGAGCAAAGAACGCTTCGTGGGGTCCAAAGTACGTGCACTTGCGGTGATCGGTGTAGCAGGGCAGGTCGCCTACGAGTTCTTGTCTCAGTTTGCCTTTTTCTTGGCTGGTTTGACTCATTTCATATGATTTTACCTCTTTGTTGTAGGGCAAGCACTTTGGATCAGGATGCTTCGAGTGGAACTGCGGCTTTCGACGGTTTGCAGGGGAGCGTCCAAATGTCGCAGGTAAAGAATTGTTCCTAGATAAATTAGAATTTCCATCGAGTTGTTTGTATAAGTCTATAATTACTTGGAGTTACTACTGCAATTTTTGGCAGTTTCAGCAAACATAACCTCGCTGGAGATGATTACCAGTTTTGCAACGGATGTGATGACCCGAGTGGGCATGTTCCAAGAAAAGCCTTCGAATCGACTTCCTACCAGTCCGCAAAAGGTTGGCCGGATACATTGCAATATTAGGTGCAAAAGACTGGATATGGAACGCATCGTTTTGTACTCCTTCTGACTAGTAAAGGACGCCATTCGTTACGGGTCCCACTGCCTCCTGCTACAGTGAACCCTTCAATGTGGAGCGGGGAATCCGTGAGCCAGGGGCAGTGTCGCCAGTCTAGGGGGGTGAGGGCAGACACTTGACATGCGTGAGAAGCGGTGGAGAGTGCGTTCGATTCACGCATCACATGGATCCTCGCGGCGTTTAAGGCAGTGGTCCCGCAGAGCGGAATGGCGCCTATACGAGATGCAGTAGGAGTCAAGAATGAATCGATCTCCGTGGATATGCGGTGTGTCGCGGCTGTCCATCGAAAACAATCACTCAACCATGTGTTCAGGTTTCTAGCGTCCGCAAAGGTTGTTCTCAATGATACCGTATACAAACGGACAGAGGAAGTGGTTCGCGACTTCGAGAAGAACGAAGGACCAGGTATAAGACTACATTGGGGATCTTTGCCCTTGATTTTTTTTTAATTCTGTTTTCTGATATTCCCACGTATTAAGCTGTCGCCGCATGTGGCTCGCGGCATTGGAGCACATTGGAGAGGGGGGGGGGGCGGGGCGTTGCTGTGTTCAGCACCAGCCTTATAGCGCAAGCATTCCACCTTTCAGACATGTCGAGTGACTCATCGTCCGGGTGTGGTTCACTAAGGACAGAAAGCGACTTTTTCGCGTTTTTTTTTTTCGCTGCAGGAACTCCAGGTCCACTCATGATCAGCGGTGGACCTGAGGTTCCTGCAGCGAAAAATGTTTCGCGCTGCGAAACGCGAAAAAATCGCTTTCTGCCCTAAAGACACACCTTCATCCCCCACTCCCTTGAAATGGCCACACTTCCCCCACGGGCTCCTCGCTTTGCACTGAAGGACGCGGACATAGCGCGGCGGCGAGGGTGTGGTTCATTAGGATAGGAAGCGACTTCCGCATTTAGCAACGCAAAAAAGTCGCTTTCTGTCCCAATGAACCACATACACGGCGGCGAATGCCCCCCCCCCCCTTGAGCCACATTGTGCCTCGCTCCCTTCTATGAATGATTGTCCGATATATTCTGAGAGAGTGCGTGTTGAATTCAGAGCTCCAAAAGGCTTTGATGGACTACGATCGGAATCACAAAGACACGAGCTATATATGTGAACCATGGTTCGACATGTATTTACGATCTCGAATACCGTGTCCGGTTAATTATAACCCTTTCATGATGTATGCACCTGATCCGGATGCACGATTCAATCATCAGGTTTGTCGTCTAGTTGGTTTTTGAAATGTCTCTGGGTTTCTCGGAGAAAGAACTGAGGTGTTTATCTACTTATTTATTTATCCTAAAACGCTTTATAAACAGTTGTCAAAGGGGGGAGGTTCACATCAACACCTGGGCAGGCATGCTAACCGTGGCAAATTTGTTGTAACAATGCTAGTGGCACTGTAACAAGTCTTGATGTGAATTAGAAGGTGATTAGTTCAGTGGAAAAGGAAGAGGCAATAACAGCGATACAAATTCTATTTGTGTTCGATATAAGTTTCTTCCACTAAAGAGCTCAGGTTTAGCTGTCGCGTGCGACAAACTTCGCCATTTCTTTCGCAAGATTCAAACGTGCCTTGGATGCCAATATTCTTGCCCCTGAAGTGTTTCATCTCAACCCTAAGAAGAGCGACACCAAGTTGTTCCGCAATGTTTGCAAGTTTGTTTGGCATCACTTTATTTTTTGTGTTTCTGGTTTGCTTCTGCTCGAGTATGGTCGTCTACGCGTCGATGTGTAATTTTGTTTTCAAAATATGGCTTTTAGAGCACTTCCGTCGAGTCTTTCCTGGTTTGGAGCCGTAGCATTTAAAGCTTTTCCTCTCGATATGAGCCAGTACAAATCATTGTTCAATGGAACGCGCATTCCAAGGAAGGATAAAGATATTCTGTACCAGGTGCGATTTCCTACATGCATGGACACACTTCTGAATATCTACAACACAAAACTTCAGGATTCGACTCAAAAACACTTCATGGTTCTATGCCGTGGTAGGGTCTATGTGGTAGACATTTTTGATGATAAAGGTGAGCTTTTCATGGGAGTATTCGTGCGCCCATTTATGTCAAAACTTAGTTTAACTTTTTTGCTCCGGTAGTTTCATGAATGCGTAACGACATTAGTTCAACCTACCGTCACTATTGTTGTGACTAGTCATGGTTATTGTTGATGTAAGGTTTGCCACATTTAATTTCTCCGCTCTGTAAATTAAGGTAACGTACTGCCTGCTGATAATGTGCACAATTCACTAGCTCATATCCTTGGAAGTGCAAAGCAGCAAGATTCTGATAGATGTATAGGTAAGTTTCTCGTTAGTTCATCGCGATATTTCGTTCTCAAGTCTTACATAATTTTCAAATTCACGTTGATTTCCAAGTATACACTGTTACATGTGCATTATACTATTCGTCAGTAATGTGTACAGAACGCTTTTCGGAAAGCTCGAAAGCTCGTCGTAAACCTTTCAAAGCGGAATCTTAC